GATTCACTTAAAAAAGAAAAATCTCATCAAGATATCAAATGCCCTAAATGTTTCATATGAACTTGTAAAGCAGCAAAATAAAATGATTTTTATCTTTCATCTCTTTGATTATTTTATCTTTAATTCGTAAAATGAACTTATAAAAAATGTAGTAAAATCCATAGACACAATCACACCTACTAGTTTTATTACTGGGTTTATTGGGTAATTACAAGTCAATTGGAGTATGAACGTGTTCAATTGTTGCATAAAAAATAAAACCTAAATGTGAAATAAGCCTGGAGCCATAAAACACATTATACACCTGACTATGTGTGAACAATTACCACAAAACACTGTTAGGGATGACACTCGTCAATGTTCAAACCCCCAAAACAAATAGGGGTATGAACAAGGTGGCCCCTTTTCTACAGCGTAAATTATCTAAGCATTCTATCGAAACTAAAATACAGCACAGATTTCGAACCCCAACTACTTTATTAACATCTCGCCCACGTTCAGTGTGATTTTTCAGTAGTACTTTATTTTAAACTTTGTCTGCCCATTCTTCCAGCAAATAATAGTTATTTGTGCAACTAGTGAGCAAAGTGAGGAATGGTTTATCGAGTGAGACGAGTGCACTTTGCACTCCAGTTGCACATTATATTTTTTTCTACATTTACCATAAAACAAATAAATTGGTAAAGAAACGTAACATATTTTTACACAGAAATGAGCTTTTAATATGTCATTTAATGATACAACAGTACAACAGCTGACCAGCTGATTTACAGCCAGTGCTGCCAACGTATTTCGCGCGCATACGACTTTGCATGCAACGCGCTCACTATTTCACATTGCAAATCTGGAGTGAGACAAAGTAATTAGAGTGAGACAATGTTAACATTGTCGTATTTTTCTGCTTCCTCGAAATAGCTTTGGAAAATCAGTTCTGGTCAATGCACTAACCTCAAATATCGTTCTTGTTTTGTTTACTGGACACAAAAACTTTACCGTTTAACCAAAAAATAACTTACTTCTCCTCATCTGAACAGTAAGATTTGGCGTTTTAAATTATAGTTGTTATTACAATCTAGATCAAAAGCTATTACAATGATATCGTTAGGAATTGTTTGTTTTAATGCATCTAAGCTGTCAATGGGAAGCAGCTTGGCTTTACCCACAGATAATCCATTATACATGGTGTCCAAAAAGTCCCGGGTCGGTTAAATTTTTTTTGAAATATTAAAATTAGAGCAACAAATATTTGCACAAAGTTACTACACACAAATCTATATAATCAGATATTCGGTGGTCCGCCTACTTCCTCAGGGGACGGCCCGCTAGGAGCCAGAAGAACATCATAAATGTAAGCATCAAATAAAAGATCTTTATTAGTAGAATACAATGCCACAAACCCGAACTCAAACGGACCACCTAGTCCAAAATGGCAACTATTAAAAGGGGGAATTTTTGGACACCCTGTATAGAGTGTGTAGGCTATACAAACTCTATGTCAATTTGTATATCTTAAAAATATATCAATATCACTATACAGGGTTTATACAAACTCCCTGGAAGGAGTTCGTGAAATTGTCTTTTTTATTGCAAAACAACACATCATATAAACATGGGTCTAAATGTCGGGGTTCTGTCCGTCTGTGTACGGTATATATGATTATTACAAACATATCCATAGCTTCTGAGGCCTTTAAGCGATTGACTTCGAACTTAGAACACGAGTGGTGACAATTATGACCGATATTTAAACACATTTCAAATTTATAATTGCTTGGAATCTAAAATGGCGGCAATTTAAATTTGTCTATCCTAAATATCTTAAGATGAGTGGTTTCACAAAAAAATAAAGACAATTTTTTAAAGAAATTTTAAGACTAATCTAATGGTGCTTGGATTGGTAAAATCGATCCATAAACAACTAAAATATGGCAATTTTCGTGGGATCGTGTGTATGGATTTTATGTTTTGATTTGTTACTATTGTTGCGCTGGTAACTTGATTTGGGCCATGTACACTGTATAGTTTCACAAATATTGGAATATCTGTTATTTACGAAGAGAGTACTGTATTACGATTTATTCATCGTTAGATTAGTCACAACATTTTCTAAAATAATACGTTCTTTAGGGTTTTGTTTGTTTGTGAAATCAGTTGTAATTTTTATATTTAAGAAAACAATGTTTAAATAGCTGCCATTTTGTATGGGTTCATTGATGATTTGTGAAGATATTCGTCCTGTATGTCATCACCTACTGTGTTCGAAGTCAATCAAAGGTACGAAAAGGATTAAAATTGTAGATGCATTTGTACAAATCACATATAGGCATACAGAAAACCAGGCATTTTAGAGCCACGTTTATATGTTTTCTTATTGTTTTGACATCAAGAACAAATACACATATTTCCAGAGAGTCTGTATAGATCCTCTTTAGTGTGATAACGATATAAACATTTAGAAACAAATACACCGTTTTATTGTTTATTTAAGCCATAATTAGGGTATGGGTCGACAACACACTACTATGCATTTACTGTACAAAGTTTGCATTTTCGATGAATTTCTTGTGTCGATTCGAACATTCACTACATACTGTAGTTCCTCAACTCAAGACTATCTACGATTACATTTAGTAGCATAGATAAAAGGAGTGCCTACTTCTTTTAATCTATGGTAGTAGATGGTAGTGTGGCAACGGTCCATGCCCCAACAAACTCGTAGGATCACCTGCTGTTTATTTATTTTATACCCCCACTGCTACAGCTTCTGTATATTTACCGTAGCAATGAGTCAAACGAACCGATGACATCATCATATAATACCTAGACTGGCCGGTGGTTCGGTCGGGTGGGGGGGGGGGTTAAATATTCTGCCATAATTTTTAAATTTATTTAAACTTATAATATTTCAAAATGCAGACAATTTTTGTTTTAAATATTTACTATCGCACTTTCGTATAAGTTTCTACAAACGCTGTTATTTACGTAAATAGCAATTTTGTTTGTCAACCTAAATTGATCGTTCAAATTTTATAAGATATTTAGAAGGTGCTTATATGTGGACTTATATACAGTACCGATACTTAATCTGCAACCATAACCATAAACTTTCACATAAACTTATGATCATTAGCCTAAATAGCAAGGTTACACAAGCACACATTCTTACGTATTCCACGCACGATCATACAGCACACATTCATTTCCTATACTTCCGAGGAACGGTGAGAAAATATTTAAACGCGCAATGAAAATGGTAAACTGGATTATTTTAATTATGAAACTTTATCGATCATAGTCAAATTAAATAATTTGTTGTTAGAATCAGTAAAACAGCATTACAATAAATTCGGCTCCCGTATGTCGAGATTAAAAACAATCAATCTGTCGACATAAAGCAGGATCTGTTTACGGAAAAACTTACTCTTTTGATTGGAATTATAACAATGAATACATATGACATAGTGAATCAAGTAGGCATACATTGAATTCCCTTCGGATCTAACCCCCAATTCAGGCAAGGCAGGCGGGCGGGGCTACTATTGGAGGTCCTGGTTCTAATCTCGCGAAACGCCAATGGTTTTATTTGAGTGATTTAAGCCGTGATCTAGTGGCCCGACTACAGTATCTAGAATTTAAAAGAGACAAGCAACGAGAATTTTCTCTGAATTTGTAAAGACTGTAACAATAAATAAACATCATTTTCATTGAGTCATTGCTTGAGATGCTTAAATTTAAGTTGTCATATTATGTGCACATAAAGTTAACATGTGTATTTACATTGTAAAATTTATACTATTTGACTAGGCCTACTTAAAGGGGATGCACTAGTGAAAAAGGAGGTTTTAATTTAGGAAGAAAGTGGTCAAACATGTTTTTTTTTTATAGAGTTTGAAGTGAAAATATAAAACTATTAGTTTACCGTAATCTCTAATTATAAGTTTTGGTAAAGGTTAAAATAAAATAAAAAAGAGGTTTTTTGAGAAACTTGTAATTGGTTTTCGGTTTTAAATTGATAGCCTATCCTGGAAAAAGTGCTTGAAGGATTTTGATGACAAATTAGACCTGCGATTTAGGTGGGTTGGTATAAAATAAGTACCTTAAGTGGATTCGTTTATATCCCTCCAACAATATTACGAGAAACTATACAGTACAAAAATAATACTTCATCTCTTTAAATTCAATATCATATTTCTGAGAAAATCCTTAACATGTTAATTGAGACCGAAAATGTCAACATTCCATTTAAGGGGAATGCTACCCATTAATTTACCTACATTCATGACTATTAGTGCATCTTCTCTTTATTTTCTAATAAAATTTCGTAACGAATAATTAGATAGGCTACATTCAAATTGTCCAACAGTGTAGCTTCGTAATAATGATCGGGTGGTGAATAATTTATTATACATAACTTAGACCTAAAGAAATATTATTTTTAAAAGATTTATCAAAACTACGTATGACTCTATGCAACGATCAGACATATTATTTTTTTCCAAATCGACGATATAATTAAATCACTCGTGCCTATTAGCTTAAATGTAATTGGCAATCTGTAGTCTGAATTGTGTAGAATAATTCCGTTATGCTAGGTCATCGTTGCAATACGCTATCTAGAGTGAGAAAAGAAAACGACGGATGCAACAGCGATTACAAGGATTAAAAAGTTGACAAGTTGTTATTGGGTCAGAGTGCGGCACAGGCAGTGGGTAGTGTAGTGGTAGTGGTGAGTAGTGGGTAGTGTGAGCAGTGAGCAGTATCGACTGGACCGAGGTAGCAGACAGTACTCTACACCACATCTAACTACTCACCACCACACACGCACACACAAACACGTCTGTGCAACTCACACTCACACATAGCCATCACCCAGTCCGTCTGAACCGCACCGCTACGCTACGTCGACACAGCCATGGCGACCGCGTCGGAAAATTCGACGTTTCTAACACGTCCATTATCTAATAGAAATCGGACAGATACATGAAATAAAATACACTCACCAGTTGTCTCCTGTGGACCCTTTCCGATTCGTTATCCCCAGACATCCTGGACAGCACAAAACTTTACGTAAATATTTACGATAAAGAATCCGATCGAAACGAGGCAATAAGAGACACACCCGGGTCGGGATAGTGGACCCTCTGGCGGCTGACGGCCGAGTGCTGGTGGCTAGCCGACTCGATTTAGAACTTTAGTTCCGAGAAACACCACCGCTGCTAGCAGCGCTGCAAAGCTAGAGCAACGAGCCGATTATCGAACTGAAATCGGTCCCTATTCCGGTGGTGCGATGCGATCGATCGATTTATTGCATCGAGGTGATCTTGTGGTCTCGTATTTTATTACAGCAATCGCTATTTTTTAGTTTGACGATCAGCAAAATATCGAGACTTTCTAGATACATTGAACTTCCAGATTTAAAAGTCAGTTCTAAACGAATAATACCCGTCTCAGCAACACAAAGCCGGTAATTGAAATTGTTATGCAAATGAAGCCGTATAAATTCTTCGGGATAACATCGCACTCGCACATTACAGGTTCAAAGCATTGGTGGAAATTACATCCTTTTAACATTTTTATAAATCGGAAAATTACATCTCCAAAAGGTGATTGATGTTGGAAAACTCGTATGTTAAAAATATATTAATAAATGTTGTGAGTAACTGGTTTGTGATAACTTTAACATGGTGGGGAAGTAGAAATTATGTTTTAGGTATTATACTCGTGTCTCGTGTCATAATTACCTCTTCAAAAAACGTACCAATGACATCAACGTACCCTAATAAATCACTTCTTCTTTTCCTCCTTGATAATAATTTAGGAATTTTAAATATAAAGGCATTTTTCTTCATTATCTCAGTTTTGTACACCGAGGCTTCAATGTAGAAAATTTGTTTTTTTCTTTTAGCTCTACACGAAGGGTATAGTAAAAATTGGGCATTTCCATGTTTTAAGAGTAAAAATTCTGAAGGAAAAACAATGTTTTAAAACGTCAAAGCCTAATAACTTCTAGAAACACTATTAGAGCTATGGAATTGTAAAATAACTAAGAATATTTGCAATTGTGTTCTTTCCTTTATTATTCTTCGAAGATTAACCATCTGGGTAGTATTTTATATTTTTTTAGACATAATTAGTTTTAATTGAGACCTAGACGTGTACATTTACAACAGCAAACACTTTAAATACCATTTCATAAAACATTAAAATACACTAATTTCACTACAGCTCTTTAACAAATAAAGATACCAAAAACCTTTAAATACAAAAATTGGAAAAGGGTCGAAACCAGAGTGTTTTTAAATCTCATTTATCAATTAAAGTTTTATCAAAATTTGAATCTCTCAAGAAATTCCACCTCTATGCAGTAAAAAGTAGTTCAAATGTATATTTTCTGTATGTTTTTGAAACCCCTGTAAATAGGGATGAAAATTATTTAAAAAATTTTCAACTAAAATACTCAGGACCTTTAAAATTAGGTATAACACGACCCCCCTTTACATTTGAAAATTTCCCCAAAACCACCCCCACCCCCCAAAATATGCCCTTTGTGGTGCTTTTTGGGTTTAAAAATAATTTAGCTGGATTCCTTGGGGTCAAAATAAGGGGTTCCAGTTGCAATTAGGTTTCTACTTGCTTTCATATTGGAGCTATAGAAACCGGCCGGGTGGTCTGGGACACGTGAACCAGATCATAGTTATGTAAGCCAACCGTAGTGTTTTTTTTATAGAGTATATAATTATATTCATCCTCAAGTTGCTATGATAGTTTATATAGCATAAATGATGCTACAGTTACGTTTCAGCTTACCTAGGTAAAAAAACAGCTGTTTCCGATTAAATCAGACATATGCACGCTCTGTTGGAGGCTCAATTTAACCACGTTCATATTTGTTCAGAACTTTACATGGAATTAAATAAAAGTCTATCTCCGTCCATAGTCAAAGATATTACCTAATAGTTATTTGTGCAACTAGTGAGAAAAGTGAGCAATTGACTCACTCGAGAGAAATCCTCACTCACGAGCCGTAGGCGAGTGAGGAATGGTTTCTCGAGTGAGGCAATTGTACTTTGAACTCGAGTTGCACATTATACTTTTCCTACAGTTACCATAAAACAAATAAATTGGTGAAGGAACATAACCTATTTTTACACAGAAGTGAACTTTTAATTTAACATTTAATGTGAAGTGACAAATACAACAGTACAACAGCTGACCAGCTGATTTACAGCCAGTGCTACCAACGTATTTCGCGCGCATACGACGTTGCCTGCATGTTACGCGCTCACTATTTCGTGCCTTCTCGTTGCAAATCTGGAGTGAGACAAAGTAATTAGAGTGAGACAATGTTAACATTGTCTCACTGATGAGCGAATTGGCCACTTTCGTGCCTTCACATTGCAAATCTGGAGTGAGACAAAGTAATTAGAGTAAGACAATGTTAACATTGTCTCACTGATGAACGAATTGGCCACTTTGCTTTCTCAAAATCAGTGAGAGAACATGTACATTGTTAGGTAACTTTAGGAAAAAGTATTAATTCTCACCTAGTCTTTAACTGGCTTGTCTCTGGCAGGAATGTATTAACTTCGGTTCACACAACTCATCTTCTAACAATGGGTCACAAGTGGCACTGAAAGCTACTATCAGGGTCACTAAAGGCTAAAGGTTTTTTCTGGGTCGCATCCGGCACGGTCGCAACCGGTACGTAATCGTAGACGCTGTCCCCACTTTTATAGATTCAATTTCTGAGTAAATTGTAAAAATCTTTTCTTTTAGATTTGGGTTATTCTCACAAACTGACTTTAACCATTATGATATGATTGAAATCATTTTATAGAATTTTTTATTATACCTAATATTTTGTATTAATTTATTAATTGATTGTGGTGATTGACAATATCAACCGCTTTTGACAGGTCCATAAACATTCCAGTTGTGAATTCCACTATAGATTCAATAGGAGATTTAAAAAAAAACTAGGTACTGCAGCTGTGGTTATCAATTTTACATGTCTAAAACAGCGTCTAAAACCATGTTGGTGACCATTTAACAGTTTAAATGTTCTATTTTTTTTTAAGTCGATTGCTAACAATGTTTTTATGAATTTGTCATATCGTCAGAAAGTGAGCATAAAAATTACGTCCGTAAATATTCCTAAAATATTTCCTTAACAAGACATGTATTCAAGGGAAATGTTTAAGTTTTGTTGGCCAAATGTTAATAGAATAAGTAAAAACATTTGACAGGTTTTATCAACATAATATGTATAGCAAACAAAACGACAACGGGTTTCTTTTTCTCCTTGATAATAATTTAGGAATTTTAAATACAAAGGTATTTTTCTTTATTTTCTCCGTGACCTTTAATTGTACACCGAAGCTACAATGTAGAAAAAATGTTTGTTCTTTTACTCCTACACGAAGGGTATGGTAAAAATTGGGCATTTCCATGTTTTAGGGGTAAAACATCTGAAGGAAAAACAATGTTTTAAAACGTCAAAACCTCATTACCCCATTTCCAGTACCCGATTTTGGTGGTTCGCGAAATGATTCAAGTTTATCTCGCCCTACACCTCCATGCCAAATTTTATCAAAATCGGACCAAAATTACTCCAGTTTCTGTCTAAAACATAAAAACACGCGTGCATGACGTAAAATGTGCTGTTAATCAGATTTTCGATATATTGTATTGTTTCTGCAGTATCGCAAAGTTCCGATGCGATTTGACTATCGTAAGTATCGAACGCTCCCCTCTCTCGTCACCCCTTTTCTTCATCTCGGAGAGAAGCACGTGCAACCCCATTGCAGGCCCAGCTGATCATGAGTAGGGGTTTGTAACTCCTCCACCCGTTAAAAAATACGTTCATTCAAATGGTAATTTATTGAAATCAATTTGTACTTTCAATAATGTCTGGAGGCTTCAGCTGAACCAAAGTAGGCAAAATCGTCACCATCTGTAACATTAGTCATATTATAAAACAAAATAAAGATTCTGTGATCCTAAGGCCGGGCGCGCACTATCCCGACCACGACCACGACCACGACCAAACGCCCGACCAGTGGTTGTCATTCACCATGCGACCAGAGCACGACCCGACCAAGGAAACGAATGTTTTACAAACTTCAGTGTCAAGATGATTGTTGAAGAAGTAGTTGTTATGGTGCATTTGTATTGTAAGTACGTTAAGCGGAAGAAGACACTAAACTGGGTATATCCAATGTTAACTGTTAGGTCTGAAAGGGCATTTTGCAACATTTTATGAAGAGCTACGTCAATATGAAGACAGGTTTCAAAAGTGTCAAAATCCTGCGACATTTTACCAAATGAGTCACTTCACAGACCGGCGCAAAAACTAGTGCTCATCGTTTGATTAGTCAAGGAATACTGGGGGTTGAGTGGTGTACTGGTCGGGTCGGAGGCAAGTCGGGGGTAGTGCGCGTCGTCCCATTACATTGTGTGCTATTTTTGGCTGCAACGACCAGCGGGTCGGGCCCGACCAAACTGGAAAATTTTGGTCGTGCGACCAGGGCCCGACCAGGGTCCGACCAGTCGACCAGTGCGCGCTGTTCCATTTATTCCTATTATAAAACTGGTCGTATCCGACCAGTCGGAGTCGTGGTCGTGGTCGTGGTCGGGATAGTGCGCGCCGGCCCTAAGCACTAGCGGATCCAACGGGGGCACGTCCCTTAAAATGTTCTGGAAATATGATTCTTCGGGCGCACAGATTTATTGTCTCGAAACCTAGGTACGTGGTGATTTTTTAGCCATGCGCTGAGCGGCAATAGTGGGTTCACTTATCCTTTAGGTGGTTTTGAGTTTCGGACATTCAGAACTGAGAGTATATATACAGAAGATGAACAGGAATACCTTCATATATATAGGTTAGAATCCATTTATTACAACATCTTGTAGCCATACGCATTTCATAAACAAAAAAAATACGTATTTCAAGGTTTGCAACCTGTTGCACGATCCAATATTAACAATCTTCTAATCGTAAATGTGGGGTTTTTACACGTCGTCATGTGCTCAAGTGTACGACTAATTTACATGATTGACCATAGGCAAGAATTTAAAAAGTTATCTTGAGCATGATTACTAAATCAATTCAATTTATTGCAGAACTCCGAATGATACATTTATGC